CAACACAGCCAGGGAAGAATAACAAACGCAGAGCTCAGGCTTTTCCATAGTGATAAATATGTGTGTGTGTGTGTGTGTGTGTGTGTGTGTTAGCACATGTTTCTATGAATTTGTTTGGGTTTATTTATCTCATGCACGGATTTTTTTTTTTTAATCGGATTACGTGTGAATATGTAAATATACAGTATTGGATTATGTGTGTGTGTGTGTGTGTGTGTGTGTGGGGGCGGGGGCACCTGTCTGGGGATGAGGGGGAGCGATCGGGAGATGAGCGTTTCCAAATGGCGTTGTGTCGGCGCGCTGCATACAGATGACACGTGTTCCACTGCGGAGGACAAGGAGTCTGGGGGGAAATCATCGCAGGTGTGTGTGTGAGTGTGTGTGTGTGAGTGAGTGTGTGTGTGCAGAAGTGTCTGTTCACGCCCCCCCCCTCCACACCCCGCGTGCCAATCTGCAGTCAAGATTGTGTTTGTGCATCAAAGATTGATGCCAAATCTCTCCCTGCAGCCGGCGCATCTGGTCCGTTGCATTTGTCATCTCGACACGTCGCTGCCAGGAAGCCGCGTTCTCCGCGCTCCGTCCTGCCGTACGCGGCCGCACACACACAGACACACACATTACTCCTGTTTAATGAGGCGATAACGTCTGTGAAATACACACCTTTTTTTTGTACCTACATTGCTGCGAGAGGTTTGAGGCGTCAATAAAAAGGAACCTAAAACGCCGCAAAGATACATTATTGAACGTATGCATAATGCGGCGGTTTTACACATGAATTAGCTCCACTATGCTCAGGGAGGAAGGCAGACGTTACAGCTGAGCTTAGCATATCTGGGGGTTTCGCCGAAGGAGCGGTTGACGGGACGCGTTTTGGCGTCGCGGCCCACCAGGTGTCTCGGATCACGACGCGTAATGTCTATTTCAGATTCACTGAAACAGTGAAGAGCCATTTAATAATGACGCAAAAACAACCCCAGCTCGAAACTGTGTTTGATCCTCATGAGCGTCCGTTCACAACGGAGCTGATTTTCGGCCCCGAACAGAATTCCAACGGACGGCCCCCGTGTCGGCCCACAAACATCTGCAGAAGTCCGTAAAGGGGCAACAAAGTGTTTCCTCGCCAGCCGAGATCCTTGGCGCCTCGTGAGCGATCAATAACGTTTGGTTCGTTCACGACTGGCTGCGTGAGCGCTTCTCTCAACGGCGGCCTCGGTGTGGCTTCCTCTCCGCGCTCCTCTGCGCGTTGTGGTTCGGCGAGGGCGAAGATGAATGATTTGTGGGAGGAAGTGGAGCTTACGTTACGAAAGCACGATGCTTAAACGTCTCCCTGAACGGAGACTTGTTCGACGGCACACATCGTTCCCGCAGCCGCGTCCCCTCGAGTCGCGCGCGATTCAGAACGCACCGCAGCAGACGCTTCGATCCGTCTCAGCGTGGAACCAACAAGGCCGCGCGTTTATCGCTCCTGCACGCGCCCGCAGGCGGCGCACGTTTGTTAAGGGAAGTCGACAGGGTGTGTGTGTCTGTGTGTGTGTGTGTGTGTGTGCAGCGGGGCAGGAAATACCACACTTCACTGGCAACGAGTGTTGCTGATGGCTTGTTTGTCCGTGTGTGTGTGTGTGTGTGTGTGTGTGTCTGATGCACGTGGACGTTGAGGTTTGTGTGTGTGTGTGTGTGTGTTTGTGCGCGTGTCTTCCTCAGACAGCTGGCCGATGTCGCTCGTCGCGCCCGCCCGGCGCCCGCCCGGCGCCCGCCCGGCGCCCGCTGGTGAACACGGGTTCGGAGTCGTTTGGATCTCGGCGGGTTTGTTTGCGTGTGGCGTGCGAGGCGACGGACGCGGCCGCGTCGCGACCATTCGCAGCCCGTTAAAACCCGCCGAGGAATTAGATCCACTCCTCCTCCTTATTGCTCACACGTCTGACAAGCTGCTCACGAAACTTTGTGTTTCCCGTTTCCTGAAAGTCGAGACGCATTTTCTCGCAAACGGATAAATCCCGTTATTTTTTCTTCTGTAATTGACATTGTTAAGCTTCCCACATGTTGCTCTAAGGCCTCTTTGTTTAATGTCAATGTTAAGTAATTAATACTCCACAACTCTTCCCCTTGGTCTTTACATTCTGTATTCATATCGAGATATATATTACTGAGGTTATAACAGGCTATTGCTAATATTGTTAACCTGAACGCGTTAAATACACAAAAATTTCAGCAAACATGAGGACCATTAACGAACTGCATGGAAACACATTTAACAGTGGGTCATTTGCCAATGCTAATGCTAATAGCTAACACTGATCTCAGTTGGTGACCCGCTGATGCTAGTTTAGCATGAACTTTCTTTTCAGAAGAAGCAAACAAAAGAACTCGCAGCTGAAGGAGACACGTGTGAGCCGGAAGAAGGAAACCAGGAAGCCGACGTCAAAGAGGGGAGCAGCACTCATCTCCTTGTCCATGCTTGTGCTTTTCCTCTGCGGGGGTGCGACCTCTTACCTGCGCGGAAGATACTTTAGTTTCACCCGAAGCGAAAGTGTTGAATTGTCGGTTCTTCAGGGTTTGTCTCCCCGCTGCGTTCTGCGTTCTATCAGCCTCCACGGGTCACGGCGGCATTCCTCCCTCCACCTGAAGCCGAGTCTCACTCACTCTGCGTTTAGAAAACATTTTTCTCTGTCAGCATCGGACGCCTCCATCAATCTCTCTTGCCTCCTTTCATCCCCCTCCCCCCCCCTCTTCTCCCCCTCCTCTGTGTTTGTCCTCCCATCTCACCGACAGCATCACTCCATGACTTCCTGGCTGAACCGTGACCTGCGTCCATTTGGTCGCTGACAGGAGCCAGGCCGCCGTCCCGGCCGGCCTCCGGGCGTCCACTCCAGGCAAAATGGCCGCGGGGGGGCCCGCCTGAAAACGTCCAACGCGAGGAACAAAACCCAGCAGAGGCGCTCGTGTCTTTATCCAGATGCAGGTGGGGTCGGGTGGAGGGGAATCCTCCTCCTTCTGTCTGCCTCCATCGGGTGAGTGATGTAGCCTCCGCGTTTCCCTCCCCCTATAAATCACGTTTATAGACGTCTAATATGTTTTGGAGGAGGGTTAATCAATGAGTGTATAATGTTCACTGGCAAAGCTTTATCCCGTTGGACCAGAGACAAAGTCGTCTTCCTGCACCCGTCGAAAAGCTGAAATACTTTGATTACTGAGCAACTTTACAGCCGCTGGACATCCAGTTTTTCGCCGACCTTCAGGGCTTTAACACTTGTCACCTTGTCTCCTACAAACTTACGTTCACATTCAACCATGTGGTTTCTCACTTACATTTCCAGGGAAACTTGTTTCTAATTGACACTATATATGAATTGTGATTGAAACATAGTGAGAAAGCATTATTTAAGTTATAGACGCGGCTTATTTAAACCATTATAAGCGAGCGTTGACCCCCGCATGGGGCGTTCAGTGCGCCGCGACCAGCCCCAACGAATCAGACAAAGGCCACTACGGAGCGTCTACGCTACCCGATGACGTCAGTGCGAATCCTCAGAGAGTCCACTGAGATTTTAAGCTGTGGTCAGGCGCGATGGCGACGGAGCGCAGGGCTTAATTTGGAGTAGGGAATATTAATCCCGTAGGGCGAGGCAGCATTTAGCTAATGACAGCCTGCCTCTCCAATGGAAATAACATTTGATCTTTAACTGGGGCCTAAAGAAATATGTGTTCATTACCTTTAACTATGTGATATTTAAA